AAATGTGAATGTCACAACCTGTTTTATATACAGTCGGGCAGTAGAAAGCACCAGTGTTAGTATAACATTGCTTCGTCTCTCTCTTCCTTTTTAATTGTCTCAGTAAGCTATTCTCATTGTGTATTATAATTACTGCACAAACTGTACATTACAGTTTCACAAAATGTACTATTACTCACCTGTTGACCACAGTCTTCAGCTGTCTACTACAGTAAATATTTATTTTATATTGTGTTTATATTGTTATATTTGAACTACTGCACTAGGTGTTAGATTTGGGTTCGCTCTGTGATTTTTCCCTATGCATATATTTTTTAACACCTATATGTAAGAGCATTGGTTGGAGGGAGCCTGAGGTCTAAGAAATTTTAATGGTAAAACAACAATTGTTAACTTAATTTGTTATGCCATTTGCCAGTTGATACAAGTTTAAAGGGGACCCAAATATAGGCCATCAAGTCCAAATACTATCCAACAGGGTATATTAAAACAATTGCTCAACTTAGTACTGTACTAAACAGCAGTTAAATGCCAACATTAATGCAGCGTGATATTTATCCAAAAGCATATATATATAATGGTAAAACAATGCAGGTGACCATTTTACTGCACATTACTATTAATAACTACTACTAGCTAAGAGTATATCTTTATCAATACTTGTAGTGGTGTATTCGTTCCACAGTGGGGGTTGGATGAGTACTTTTACTCTCATGAAGTAAAAGGACTCATACCTGACCTGAATACTTCCCTCCTCTGGTTCTCACTCCCACAGCCTCTGACCTACTTTTATTACACTTGTGTGTTGCTGTCTGCTCCCCTTAAGAAAACGGCTGGGCTTGTGGATAACCTGAGTGTCGTATGTGTCAGCTAGTTAGCTGTTAGCAGTCACTGCGTTGTCTCTCTTGTGATTGTGATTGATAACATATTCATGGAGTGGGGAAAAATCACTCACTTACTGTGATACAGACCCTGCAGAAACGAGTTATCTTTGCGCATTAATTCGCCATCTAGTTTCTTAATAAGGAAGGGTCACTCAATTTTTATTTAAGGGGCAGATTCAAAACAGGAATTCGCCAAACTTGCTGTGTGCTGTAGTTAATTTTGAAAGGGCATTAAGGCCACTCGCGGTGCTTCCACGGCACTTGGCCGGTTGGGCCTTAATACAATTTCCCACCTGACAAATTATTAGATAGTGGCTACGAAACAATAGCTACATTTGCTTACAAAGACAGTCTATTTATGCTTGTTTTTGGAAATTAAATTTTACGTGAAATTGGTCACTCATCTCTTCAGTGGGGACCTTCCAAGGATAGTCAGTTTCACACTCGGTCTCAAAGACAAACCATCATTGTGTGAGAAAGTGAATTGCAAGGAAGCTTTTTAAATCATGACGTTAACCAGTTTCCTCCAGTTTGCATTGTCCATTACTGGTGCTTGGTGAGTGCAGGAGATTGACCGACCGGGGTGTCGGGCAGAGCTGCCTGATGAGTTTCTTTGAGGAGGGACAAATGCTCAGGCATGGGTAAGAAGATGGGATGCCAGCGAGGGCCATGGAGCGCCTTCCCTAGGCATCGACGAGGCCATGGCTCGCAGACAGAGTCATGAGGTAACACAATGTGGTCACTGCATTTCCTTTCTTCATTAGTAGTATGACCAGTCGGTGTAGCTTGGTAAAACACTTACGTTGATAGACGTTGTCTGTAATACGATGAGTTAACCTCCCCCTGACTAACTCTAAACTCGGAGCAATAAAGTTTCCTGATCTGCCTGTAATTCAGGTTAGTGAAAGAAGAACTATCTCCGTGGTCGGTCTTTGACACTGCCCCTAACCGGTCACACACTGCGGCTGTCCAACTTTTCCCCCACCATTGTGGAAGGCCGTGGTCTGGGCCAGCCCTCATGGCAGTAAGAACCAGAATCAAGCCCTTTCATCCTCTCAGGTGAGAAGGACGACGCAGGTCCAGTCACCTCACTGATTGCAGGCATTCACATCTTCTAATGTGGAGAATGGTGTGTCTGTACAAGCTCCACAAAGCCACTAGTTGACTATGATGCCAAAGTGGGTAAATATTCAATTACATTAAATCATTATGATGTGATTCCAACTCTTGTCTATATTTCTTCTCTCTACTTGACTCTCTCATTGGTAAGATGTGTAACATGGCTCGGTCTGGGGACAATGAACGCAGACACAGCTGGCCTCTAAGCTCGAGGAGACCCTGCCAGTGATCCGCTCAGTCACCGCGTCCGGCCCACTCCGCTGCGCAGCATTTTTGATTTCAGATGGGCCTGTGATGATCAGTTCAGGTTTCTTTAGGGCCTGGGACCCCTACGGTGGGCTGTGAGCCTTCTGGAGCGATGTCTCACTCCAAGGGAGGCAGAGCCGCAGGGTGACTCCATTCGGTCAGCCCTGTTACCATGCCGTCTTCGCTAAGAGCTCCACGTATACAACCCGTTGCATATATTTCATCTTCCAGCGTTCCCCCAGCACAAGCTCCGGCGCTCCGTGAGACTGATTTTGTTTGTTCTTATCAGGGCCAGTTTGTTGCTGAAGGAGGACAGCTGGAGGCAATGTGGTAAGAGATAGGACTGCACCATTTTGTGGGAACTGGGACGATGGAAATGTGTGGGTCTAATGGGAGCTCCTAGCGCCAGGTCTGGGGAGTGAGATGGATGACTTGGGCTAATGGTTGTTTGATGAGGTATTTTATGTTCTTATCTGACCCTTTGTTTAAGGTTGTGCCATTAAAGGAATATAGTTCATTTGGGGAGTATTTGTGAAATACGAGAACAGCTTGCTTGCTCCGGTCCAAATGTAATAAGAATCCAGGCTACTAATTAATCATTAAGATTATGGCCAGACAATTGTGATTGATGGTGCTAGCTGGGATGCCCCCTGTTTCCAGCATTGGGTGCTAGCTAACAGTGGCTCTAGATAGGAGCCCTTCATGTTACGCACACTGGACCTTTAACATGTAGACATTCAGGGGTATTAATTGCCATGTAACTCTCAAAAGAAAGAACAGTTTCTCAAAAGGTGGTGGCATGAACCAAAATGAAGCACTTGGGTCTCTTGCAGTTTGAACAATCAAAGTTAGGAGATGACCACAGGGGGGAACAAGAAACAGAAAGTGGTGGATTTTATTCTAAAGGAGGAGTTGAGAGACAAAAAAAGAGAAGCAGAAGTATGTTGTTTGTTTGGTGTGTGAGTGTGACCTTCCCATGGCCTCCCATTAGCTGTGTATGTATTTGGTGAACTCTAAGTTTCCCAAATCCCATGGATCCTCAGTGTACGTGCTTACTCGTTTCACCCCAGCATGCTGAAGTTAAGGTCAACTGGCGGTCTCAGAAAATGGTGGTTCGAATTATTTTCAGCATGATACTAACACTACACATCAGTGACCTGCGGACTTTGGAGCAGTCTTGTTTAGACTCATAGAAGAATGCTATAGCCACTTCTAAAGTTAACAGTTTGCCTTTTCGTCCATCTGTTATCATTACATAAACTATACTGTTGAAAACCTGAACTTCTGTAGTTTTCACATTACACAGTTTTCCAATATTTCTATCATGCTGACAATGATGCCCATAAACAATGCAGCACAGATGGAGTGGGTTACAATATTCTTTCAAATGAATATGGCCACAGGGGACTTACTGTTATACCCACAGTTTTGTGCATGTAAAAAATTATTTGGTGTTTCTATCGGATTATGCTAATTGGAGCTTGAGAAAGAAAAATAACAGCTTGCAGCATTAGTGTGTTTCTGTTTTGAAGACTGCTAGACTGGAGGGAAGAATGGCTAAGATAATGTGAGCAACACGGTTGTCTGTTCTACACAAAGAAGGCAATTATAAAGCTTGGATAAAGGATGATTTATTGTTTTTACTTTATGTCATGTACCAGTTCGGAATGCAAACAAATTGGTTATATATTGTACAGCTGAGGATAAAACGGAAAATTCACAATGCTGTATTATAGAATGACCTGAATGGTCTGAACACATATCTGTTAAATATGAAAATGCCCTTGTGTTGACTTGTTGTGGCAATAAAGAAAAAGGCAATATATCCACAGTCTTTTGTTATTTATCTTTTTGCCACATCTTAGTGTGAAATGCTATGCATTCTATTGGTTTATTTATTTATTTTTATATAGC